ACTCGGTTCTCTCGCTCGATTAAAATATCATTTAATCTTGATTTAGATGCTTTGAGATGTTCTGAAAAGATTCGCTGACTTTGAGGCATTCTAGAGTTCTCTGAAATATTCCTAAGTCTGGACTGCTTATCTGATTTATCTGATCTAACTTATCTGACTGATCTGATCTTGTTTATCTGACTAGGTGCAACTCGACTTAATCGTGGTCCGAGTGCATACGCACGGACACGACATCAGTCGACGCACAACTTTCTATCCGGATCTAGAGTTCATCCGGACTGACCGAAAAAGGCCAAACTAGGGTTCTCTTCTCAACCGGCTATCTATCTCGGTTCAAGTCAAAAACTCAAACTTTAAGCTCAACTTGATTTCTAGTAATTTCAGCTTAATCTCAACCGGATAAATTCTAGGGTTTTTACCAAAGCAGCTAAAGTCTCGAATTTATAGGCATGCCAAACAACCTCTAAAAATTATGAAATTTAAACCACGACATATTCAGCATTTATAGGATTTTTCGTGAAAGTTTCATCGAATTTCGAGGTCTTTTCATATTTATCAAAAATCGGGCATTTCAGCTACATATTCAAAAATCCAGTTAACATACTAATCGAGCACCAAAAATTACGAAATTAAAACCTAAGCCTCAAGTCAGCTATACGAATTTTATCATATTTTTTTTGACATTTTTAACGCGTCTATCGAAAATATCAATTTATCCGCTTTAAGCTCGTACGTACCGATCCAACTCAAATCAACATCTCAACTAATTTTTATCTCGTTCTTATCATCAATTTATTTCATATCATTCAAGTCTTTAGATATTATACCTCACGAGATCGGAAAAGAACGGATCGGACTAGAAAATGGGAGAAAAACGGAGCAAGAAGCCGGTCGGGTCTGGTCGTCGGGACGCGGGAGGGGGCTGAAAGTCACCGGCGCTGGTGAGCTGGGAAGGGGCCGGAGGCAGAGCTGCGAGAACCGCGGCGGAGCAGTCGCCGGATCTGGGAGCTTGAAGGTGGAGTGCAGCTGGGGACGATGCTGCCGCGATGTGCATCGCCGGCAAAAATGGAGCTTGCCGTCGCGAGCTCGTGGTGGCGGACAGAGGTCGGTTTTGAGCTGCGGCGCCGGAGATGGTGGCTGCGGAGCTTGGGACACGGTTGTCGGAAACTGGGCGCTGCGGGGCTGCAAGGAGGACGCGGCGGAGCTGCTGGGAGAAGCTCGCCGACAACGGAGCTGGAGGAGCTGCGGGCTGGACGGCTTGCTGCGGGCTTTTGGTCGGAAAATGCGGGTGGCCGGAAAATGGGTCACGGTGGCCGGATCTTCAAGCCATGGTGGGTCTTGGGAAGGAAGCTTATGTGGTTGGATCTTGGATCATATCTTGAGGATGAAGAAGATGAAGTGGGGAGGATGATGAAGGTGGCTAGGGTTTAGGTGTTGTCTCCATGTTGGAAGACAAGGGGCAAAGTCTATTTATAGGAGTAGGGAGCTTAGGGTTTTTGTAGGAATTGGGCTTGCTCTTGGGCTTATAAAAACGGGCTTAAATTGGGCTCGAGTTAGGACAATAAATACCGATAAATGGACCGAATAAATAAGGTCGGGCTCGGTAATATAATTTGCTACTAGGCTCGATTTATAAAACATACTACTTGGGCTCGGATAAAATTAAATATGCAATTAATATTAATAATTTTCTGCATAATTAAAATAATACTAATACCGATAAATAAGTCGAGCTATTAATATAATATTTGTCCGGGGTGTTACAATCTATCCTCCTTAA